GTGATACAAGGTAGTGTGAGTGTGATACAAGTGGTGATACAAGGTAGATATAAATCATATTTCTGATTTGCAAAAATGGTAAATGCCAACATCTGGCGACTGGGGTTGCATTAAAAACATAAAGTAAAAATTGTAATAATACCTCAAACATAAAAATCATTTTGTCATTTGTCAAAACGAAGGTCCAAATACATTGCTGGGGGAAAATGGTGTGGGAGAAATGCAGAATCATTTATTTCACTGACTCAAAAAAACAATTTTGTTGCTAAAATCAGTTAATAAAATAACCAACAAAAGTAAGAACGTAAACTGTGTTGCTGAAAAGCCACAAATTATAGGTCGGTTGTTCTCATTGATGGCTGCTTTCCCAGTTGTAAAAACAACTGAGTCTGTGGTGGATTTGTTTGTGGTATTAAGATTGTGGACTTCGTGTGTTCGTGTGCCAGAGCCAGAAGAATGGCGGCAAAAAATAAAGCCGTGTAAACGGCAACAAGCACAGATGAGGTCGACACAGCTGCACAGGCTTGCAGATAAGTAGAAAATAAAGATTCTTAAACTTGTCATATTTCTTTGATTAACATGAAAAAGCTGCAGCATCCGTTTCGCCTGAAAATAATATCTGATCGTTTGGAGCAAAACAACACAACTCTCCCAGAACAGAACACGGCTAACATCAACATGATGTCAGTCTGAACGATGGCATGAAAATAACTGGCAATGCAGTCTAATTATCAGACTAAAATTATCCAGTTGTCAGAAGCACAACTGGCAGAAAGTTTAGAGGAGCTGGTAAGAAAACAGAAGGAGGAAAAAAACCTCTTGACTAGAATTTATTTATGGAAAACTGAACTGCCACTTTTTTCATTTAATTCACTTTTAATGGGCAAAACCTGTGTATCATTATCATCAGGCCTGATGAAGCATTGTTATGATCCTAAAATAGAAAAAAGGATTATTTCCCTGAAGTCTGTTGTCACGGATCTTAGGTCTAAATTATGTGACATTTCCTGCTCGTGAGATCCAAAAAGTCCTGTTTCAGATCCATGTGACATTTCCTTATAGGCCGCGACGTACAAAGAAAACAATAGAACAATGGAATAAAAGCAGCACATTGTCCACTTATTACCTGCTCAGAATAACAACAAGCACTGTTCAACTTGTAAAAAAAAAATAATAGCACAACACAAAGGGTGACAAAGTTATTTATGACTTAGCCCTACACCCCCACGGTGACAATAAAGAGCGTGTCGACATATGTTTCTGAAATACTGGCCAACAGGTATAACCTTTTACATTTTATACATAACACTCAGTACAAAGTGGGTGAATTGCTTCTGCAATCGTAGCTTTAAATAAAACAGTTCAGTGTTATTGGAGATAATTAATAGTAAATCATGACTTGCTATAGATTTATGATGCAGGCACTGTAAAGAGAAAGAAGTTGTCTTTCATTTTTCATATACAGACGGTCAAGAAGAGAAACCCCTGAAGGCCGCAGCGCTCTGGCGAGATGTTATAACAGATACTCGACATGAGCTGCACTGACATTGCCCTCAGGACTCCTGGCAGGTCCAGGCAAGCCCGTTTTACACGTCCGTGCAAAAGATTTGATTCAACGTCATGATGAATGCCTCAATCAACATTCCAGTCCATTAAAGGCTTTGACGTTTGGACGTTTACAAAAAGGCTCTCTCGCGGGCAATGATCTTCTTGAAATGCAGTCCCGCTTGTGAATTTGTCAGAACACCTGCATTTAAAAGCGTCCTGGTTTTAGTGTCCTGTGTGGGTGTTGTTTTTACAGAGGGCTTTTAGGCTCCAGTAACAAAAGATAAAGATTTAACGAGAGAGGAGGCACTGAAAGGTTTGCTCACCGGTTGCTCTCGGAACAAAGTGGCTACTTTTTCAAGTGACTCACTGAAGCTCAAAGTAGGTTTAGAGCAGAAAGGTTGAGACTTACTTAAAGGACACACACACACACACACACACACACACACACACACACACACGTGCACGTATAAACACACACACTCACATTTTATATAATCACACACACCTACATACATTTTCTTGACGTTTGGGGACATTACATTGACTTACATTCATTTCCTGAAGACTTGCTGTGACTCGCCTAATCCTAACTCATCCTAACTCTAACCCTAACCTTAACCTATTCCTTTGTTTATTTTCGTCTTTTAAACATACCAGATTTTTATAGACCATGGAGATTTGGAGATTTCTTATAATACAATAGACTTCTTAGGATAAACGTCTATATTATGCAGCAAACAATATATGAGGCAGATGGCGACTTGAACTGAGGTTGTGTTTACCATGTTTACAAGAAGAGTCCATTTGAATAAAGGAATAAATTAGTTTTTTTTTCTCAACTTTTTAAGTGGAAGTTTTGCAAAAGTTAAAAGTTCACGAGTTGCGACATATGCTGATATTTATAAAAATGTCAGAGCCGATTAAGGTTACGCTTAAAATGTCTTTGAAAAGGCACAAGGACACAAAATCCTTTTTTTATATCCTTTGTCAGTCACCTGGCAACAGTCTTCTCTCGACTTCAGCCACTCGAA